TGTGTGTGGGGGGGGGGTATGTGTGTGTGTGTGTGTGGTATGTGTGTGTGTGTGGGGGGTGTGTGTATGCCTGTGTGTGTGTTAATGAAGGTGAGTGGATGTCTATGGACCCACATTCACCAATAATTTCTTTTGGGTGTTTGTTTTTGATTTCGAAAAAGAAAAACTTTTGGTGGGTGATTGCAGGTGCTCTGGTGTGGTTTGCTTCTTCTTTCCTATCAAACATCTATCGTCCTTATCTCCCCTCCTTCTTTTTCGTGTTTGTTACTCTCTTATAGCACCTCTAATCTTCGACACTTATATGACCTTATTGTGTTGCAAGTGCCATAAAACACTAACCAAAACAAACAAACGAAAAACTTTTGAACTATAGTGGCTAAATCTGAGAAAGACTCGCATGTTCCAGTCACTACTTCACTGGTATCTGTGGATTATTGGTTAAGATCATTGCTGTTGTACACAGAAGAGGTGAGTTCAATTCTCATGGTGGGTGGTTGGCAGGTGCTCTGGTGTGGTTTGCTTTTTCTTTCCTGTCAAACATCTATTGTCCTTATCTCCCCTCCTTCTTTTTTGTGTTTATTACTCTCTTGTAGCACCTCTAATCTTCTGGCACTCATATGACTTTATGCAGTTGCGAGCGCAGTAAAACCCCTATTAAAACTAAAACAATTCGCAAGTAGTTATTGGGACGCCGTATCCCGCTTAGGCAGGGTGGGTGATTGGCGGGTGTTCTGATGTGGTTTACTCCTTCTTTCCTATCAAACATCTATCATCCTGATCTCTCCTCCATTTTTATGGGTGGCGTCAGTAGCCTTGTGGTTAGGCTACCGGACTCATAATCGTGAGATTGCGGGTTTTGGAGTTCGAGCCTCAGCTCGGTCCGACGTTGTGTCCTTGAGAAAGGCACTTTACACGAACTTCCCACTTGGCTCGGTCCTATCAGAGACGGATGTTAAATTAGGAGGTCCCGCCTCTTAAATAACCTAATAGTGTTGATACGGGCATTAAACTCAAACCATTTCACCATTTTTATTTTTGTTATTCCCTTGTAACACCTCTAATCTTTGGCACTTATGTCCTCCGCAGCAACTGGAAGAGTTCTGTTTCCGGTTCTGCCTGGCTCACATGACAGCGGTCACTCAGACGGAGGCTTTCATAGATCTGGACGAGGCAGTGGTCAAGGATTTCATTCGAAAGGCAGGCCAATCTGGAGCTTTTCGCACCTGACTCTGATGACCTTGAAATAACGGACAATGATTGTTTACGCCACGCCCCTTTGTCTTTTTGGGGGGCCGAAAGATCACTCACACGCAAGACCTTTGATGTTGTGAATGGTAGCTGCACGGTTGTGTATGTCCGAGGTATTTCAGAAGTCCAGTGACTTCCAGTCACCAACCAGGGGTTATTATTTTTAACTGCACCTCTCTTGAATCCGAAATGTTAATGCCGTCTGTTGCATACCAAGGTATCTCAGACGGCCAGTAACTCGCCGGTCACAGTGATGATGTCACCAATGTTAACTGTTGTCTGTCGAGGTATTTCAAAAGTCCCAAGTCATGTTTCACCACTCAAGAGTGTTAACGTTGTCAATAACTCACTGCCACCACCAACAACAACAACCAAAAGTTAATTGTGTGACAGCGTGGTGGAATCAGGCACTCATCAATTTTTGGGCATGTGGTGTTATTGGTATCTTATGAAAGCTTATATATTTGCCTTGCTTTCTATGAAATAAATACTCATCTATCTTGAATAGAATTCGAGTTAGTAGCGATTAAAGGAGGTGGGGGGGTAACCTGTTTTCAGAGGTAAAATAAATGAGAAAATGGCCGCAAAATTTGGTAACTTTTGTAAGTACAGAATCCTTGAAAACTGAAAATTTATGTATTTTGTGTCATTAATCTACGTCTTTCAGTAAAATTCGCATAAAAATGTGCTTTAATACGGACATAAAAATGTGCTTTAATACGGACATAAAAATGTTGAGACAAGAAGCAAACTTTTGGTAAGAAATTACCAAACTAGGAAAAATGCCTTTTAAAATTTAAAAAAAAATTATTTTGACGAGAGCCTGATTTCCCCATGACGCCTCACAATGGTTTCGATGGTTCCTCATCTGAACCCACTTTCAAACTACGCACCACTGTGCTAATGTCTTGAGTGTTAACTGTTGTACACCAAGATTATACTCAAATGTTCAATAACTTACTCATCTTCTATCATAGTATCAGAGTTTCCAGGTAGCTCTGAACTGAAAGTGTGCCGCAGGGGGTTGAATAGTAACGTCAGTCTCTGAGAGGAACTGGAAATTTGCCCTGCATTTTCATGAAAAAAAAAGTCGAGAAAATTTGCGCTGCTTTTTTCTTTTCGTATCGATTCTCTTTTCGCTTTTTAGATAAGTAATGAGTATTGTTATTTATTTAGGTATGCAGCCAAGTTTTGAGGCTGTTTGTTATTCTTTTTTCGTAAATTTTTATCTCGTGTAATTATAGTTTATTGATTTAAAAAATAATCATATAAATCAGTCTTGGTACTTCCCCCCCGCCCCCGCCCCCCCCCCCCCCCCCCCGATTACCATGAAGAGATTGAAGTCAGATTTTAATTGAGACCATTTTTTAAAAAAAGAACAAAACTGCTGCTAAAATCAAAGTATGGGAGCAAATTTGAACCGAAAAAATCTTGCAGAGTATTTGACCTACACCCCCACCTTAGAAGCCGCCTTTATCCTAGTATTGTAAAAAATCTAGCCCCACAGGAGAAAGAGAATGGGTATACCTTGTGCGGACTGAGTGGGTTGTGGCTTATTGTCTTTCCAAAGCAGCTAGTTACTAGTTCTCGTAGACACGAGCATGTGCATGGCATGTGACGTGTTGCATGACGTCACTGGCATTGGGTTTATTTGATACCATCATCATCGATGCTACTAATACTAGAATCCGGCACAAATTTCTGTACCCGGTGTGTCGGCGATTGGCACGTCAGGAGTTGCGTTACAGAATGAAAATCGGTGCAAATTTCTGTCCCCCTCTCAGAGTTGTCCAGCATAGGGTCCTACCTTCTGATGGCTGGAAGGTGCCCAGTAATCAGCTGACCTGGATATGATATTTAGTGTGTCTGTCTGTCTGTCTGTCTGTCTGTCTGTCTGTCTGTCTGTCTGACTGTCTGTCTATCTGACTGACTGTCTGTCTCTCTGTCAGTCTGTCCATCTCGATGTTTCTCGACACTTCCACTTTGACAGTGAACAGACGTGGAACAGTATGAAAAGTTTTTGTTTGCGGGTGGCTGAGGGGTGCCTGCTGCCGGTTGACCCTACTGTTGGTTTCTTCTTTTGTTTCAGCATGTCTGTCTCTCTCTTCTGTCTGCCAGTCTTGCTTATATTGTTAGTGGGAAATGGGTGTTATTGTTTTTTGATATACTTTTCTTTACAATTTTTTGTTACGTACTGTTGTCTCTAAACCAATCTTGTGTTCAAAGTAAATGTCTTTTCGTCGATAGAATATGGACTTTTTAAAAAGACTGTCTCTCAAGTACAGTAATAAAATTATCCACCCTTTTGGAAATAAAACTGCAGTAGGAGTTAAAGAAATTGACATGCTACACTGAAGTATACTACTTGTAACAAGAAATTGACATGCTACACTGAAGTATACTACTTGTAACAAGAAATTGACATGCTACACTGAAGTATACTACTTGTAACAAGAAAT